CCATCTTATTTATATTAAAGGCGGGTTCACCGTTCGTGTCCGGACACTTTTTGCTAGTAATTTTACGCGTTCCTTTCCCACTCTGTCTTACTGAGAGCGCGACAAAAATGTGCTGAACACTCTTTGTTCGAATCAAATTGATTTTGATTTTCTGTCCGAACGACTTGATGATGCGGGTTGCCGCGTTATCCTTTGTATGCGTTTGCAGCGAATTGCATGTATTATTTGCCCTCAAAGTCGTATGTAGCCAATAATATCATCAGCTGTTTGCCTTAGAACAAAATCAAATGTGCCGAACCATGATTCAATAACATAACGTGTTGCAAGAGATCAACCCTTCCTGATTTGGCTTTTAATGTGCAATTGCAAACATTACAATAAGCCTCGTAACCTCAAGTGTTTATACAACCAGCCTTTGACACGGGATCCTTAGTCCAAGAATCCAAAAAAATGTTCGTACGCATGGTATGCATAATATTTAAGTCATCTGTGTCGAATGAATAAATATCTTTCAGATAAAAATAAATAGTAGAAGGATTAGGGTCTAATTTTTGCGTAGAACTCCTTTCTGCGTTGGCGGCCTTTGACCACGCTTTAGGATTATAACCTTTACCAAATAGAATTCTCCTTATAGTGTGCACCAACTGGGGCTACCGCCCCAGCGATGTAGCCTTGGGGAAAGGATGAGGTAACTAGAATTCCCTTTCTGTGTGGTAAACCTGGAGCTGCCACCCCAGTGATGTCTATTATGGTTACTAGTTACCCCTTTTTTAGGTTCTTAATTTTTTTCAAATAGAGCCGCAGGCGACCACGCCATTTTTTATTCCAAATTTTTCTTTTTTAAATATTTTATGTTATAAAAAATATCGACTAGGCTGCCGGCCAGCGACTTGAGGACATTGTTGCGGATCTGTACTTTGTTGACAATTGCGGTTGTATGCGCCGAGAAGGAGAGCAGACTGTCTCGAAGGTAACTCCGAAGATTTTGGGTTACTCACCGTCGGTATTGTTACGTCATCGACGTGAATACCCAGTTTCAGTCTGACCTCCTTCCTCCAGGTGGTGAAAAGGGTTGCCGAGGATTTCACAGGGGATAGGGCAAGGCTCCTTGCAGTGATGAAGCGAGAAATTTCGGCGAGATAGCCGTCATCAATTCCATTCCCAGACGCCACGATCGAGCAATCGTAAGCATAGGAGACAATATTAACACCATCTGGTGGCTGAGGAAGCTTTGATATGTAATAATTAAACAGTAGCGGGGACAGGACACCACCCTGTGGTACCCCCTGTTTAATTTTACGTGGCTTGCTAGTTTTGTCTCTGAAAATTACTGACGAGTGTTGACCACTCAGGTTATTCGCCGAACACCGTTTGAGACCCTGTGGGAGTGAGGAGACCTCTATATCGTCTAGTAGCGTTGAATGACTGACAGTGTCGAACGCCTTGGACAGGTCCAACGCTACTAGAATAGTTCTCTCACAGGGGCGGTTTCGGTTTAGGCCACGAGTTATCTGAGTGTTTATGGCGAAGGAGGGTTATCGGGCGATAAGACTCTCCTTTGTTGGCTGGTTTCCCCGGTTTGAGCAGTGGGACCACTCTCAGCATTTTCCAAATGTCTGGAATGACGAGAGTGGCCATAGACAGGTTGAGGATCTCTGTTAGGTATTCTTCTCCCGCAGGACCCAAATTTTTCAGCATCAACATACATATTCCGTCGGGTCAAATGGCTTTGGAGGCTTTCGCCTTCCCGATGGCTACCCTAACCTCATCGCTGGTGAAAACAAGAGGCGCACTGGGTTTTGGTATTTTGGGCAGCCTTCTGGTCACTCGACGTTTGACTTTATCTACCGGAAGATGCAGAATGAACTGCCGGCTAAAATAGCTCGCGCATCGCTCCGGGTCCGACGAAGCGTGGTCACCAAAGTCTATCTCGACTCTGTCGTCACGCTTCGTCGGGTTGGACAACGACCTAACGGTTGACCAAAGCTTGCTCACACCAGAGGCGAAGTTGCAGGTCTTCAAATGCTCTTCCCATTTCTTCCGCTTACGTACGTTGACAAGTTGCCGAATCTCCGAATTGAGATCCCTTATACGGGGATTTCCGG